TTAGATGACTATTCCATCCTGCTTGTCCTTCAGCAGGCTGGATGCTTTCAGCTCAGACTGAAAGTAAAAGGTTAAGCATCAGCTTGACCCCTAACAGCAAAAGGCCATCAAGATAAAATTTGCTGCTTTACTAAGAAGTGAGAGAAAAGCCTACCGTTCAAGCTCTGTTTTCAGGGCTTAAGCATGACCTTAGCAGAGTATAGTCCCTCTGCTAGATATCAGCACAAAAGTATGCTTCACTAGCTACAAATGTTAAATTAATGTATAATATTTCACAAATACAATGAGAGCTCAAGTTCTTACCATAGCAACTCTAATATCAAAACACATACATATTTAAACAGTCGCGATTTAAGTTTACTCTGCACAGTGACATATTTAATGTCATTTAATGATCTCCTTAGCCTTTTATTCTCAATTTCAAATCTGTTTCCAACCACTGAAAAGTTAAGATTCAATGTTTCATTTATCGAGCTCTGTCCACTGACAATATGTCACTCTTAAACGAAAACCAGCAATAATATGCAAAATCTGTAACTGTAAATGATAAATTTCTCAGAGTGTCTTGAAAACACATTTTTAAAGCTAGTATCTATTCTTCCTCCAACTGGGCAATTTATATATTTTCAAAGTATACAACTTCCAAGATTATATATTGAAAAAAAAACCAACCACAAACAGAAGAGTTTCTGGCGTCCAGGCTTATTCAACCCAAGAGACACTTTTTTTTTAATGCATATGTATACATGTATACATACATTAGAGTTCTGATGGTTTCCTTATGGGACTTCCTTCACCATAGCACATGAATGACTATCAAGTGAAAATGCTTATACAACCTAGAAAAAAAAAAAAGACTAGTCTTCCCTTTCCAAAGTATGTTTATACATATGTGTGTATACCTCCACACATGCTAGTGAAGAATATGATATAAAGATTTTACCAGTGTAAATTGAAGGTAAAACACAAAGGGCAGGATTTAATCCAAAATAAGATACCTAAGTTAAGGTATCTACATGTAGGTTTTTACATATGCTCTAGGTGTCTTAAGTTCCCACTAGTTATCGGAGATCTAGACATCAAATCAGTTTTGCACACACAGACATCTAGTATTATCTGAGATGCCACAGGATATCCAACATATCCACATGGGTGTCTCAGACATGGCATGATATATGAGGGATCTGTGTCCTACAGAAGCAGCAGCTGAAAGTTGGAGAGGATACCCCACTGCATCCCAAATGGCATTAGACACCTATGTGGGGGCAACCGAATTAAGGCCCTAATCAATATAATCAGTTGAAAGTGATTCAGCTGATCCAGCCTCTAGGTTGGTTCACATTAGGATGAGTTGAACATCTCTCTAAGCTCCAATGACCAATAGGAACATAAACCTCTAGTTTTTGGTGTCTTAAATCTTGAATCCTGCCCCATGCAAGATCATTGCAAAGGAATGCTGAGAAGTCTTTATATTATATATCGTCATGTACACTGTGTGTGCTATATTTTAAAGAATTTATAAAAATCTAGTGTGTGATGAAAGAAAGAATCCACAGACTTGCAAATAGAAATTTGTTTTGCCAACACGCACAGCATGTTCCATGACTTCCGCAGTGAGAAGGAAAACTTTACCTGGTGAGAACAAAACACTAGCTGATGTGCCCATGATGTCCTACGTACATGTCTAACTACCTCCTTCCTAATTTTGAAGTCTGATGCTACTCCTGACCATTATAAATTGGATAAAATAATTTGGCTGTTTCATTTCATCTCTTTGAAAACAAAAGACGAAACCCTTTAGAACTTTACCACGCCAAAGAAAACTGTGCAAACATTTGCAATGAGCGAACTGATTGTGCACCTATGCAGCTGTACAATTCAGGGTTATAATACCAGCTCGTAATGCAACAGGTGGCACAACAGGGGCAGAAATAATCTTACAGAATCCATTTCTAAGAATTCTCCCACCAAAGCGGAGGGAAAGCTGTAACTGTATTCCTCATCTGAATACTGCTGAAAATATCTTTTACCAGAGATTGCATTCTTTTTCAGTAGCTCACTATAAAAAAGACCAAAAAAAAGATGAAAAGGTAGTTTTGGAATATACAGGAATATCATGCATGAACATAGAAGCCAAGCCAGACTCTCCTTCCCCACATTAGGCAGGGTATATGAACGGGTAGGGGAGAGAGAATACAGAATTCTATAAGAATATAGAAATCACAACTGAAAAAAATCTCACCAACAATAAAACCATAGTCTTTCAATTATATTTATAAAGGAGAAGCTAATCATTTGCTCACTGCATTCACCAAGACAATACAGAAAGAAATTAGCTTAATCTGCAGCATATGAAACTTTAATTAGATATACAATTAGAAACCATTAAAACTAACATAGTTGACTAGGGAGGCGGTGAAATCTCCTTTTGCTGAAGGTTTTAAGAACAGGCCAGATGTGCATCTCTCAGGAAAACGCCAGAAGAGAAAAACGAGATAGTCACTTGGGGTATTCTCAAACATTCTAAGTTTCTGTACCTTTAAAAAAAGAATATTTCACCCAGAAAGCACTTTTAACTCCACCAGCTAGGATGACCCCTTGAACAACTGCCATTATTCTGCTGAAACAGCAACATAAAGAAAGGATAACAAAAAAAAAAAATTGGAGAAAGTACAGCATACATGGAAATATGACTGAGACAGAATGGGGGGGATGACGTAAGGAAAGAGCAGTAGAAACAAAAGAAACAAGCAGAAAAGAATACATAGCTTATTAACCAGGACAGAGCATGATAGGATACATGGAAACATTTATTACAATAATCTATATTAAGAGAGATCTAGAAAGTACTGATTGGTAATAGTATACACAGCAGTAAAGAAGGGATTAAAGAAAAAAAATCCTAACTTTCTTTTCCGTGGGTTGGAGGGGTTTTTTTTGGCAAAACAATAGGAATTTCTTATGACAGTAACACAATACTATCGATGTTTGATTCAAATGTGTACTGCTGTCCAAGTCACACCATATAAAGTTATAAACGGACTCACAACAGCTCACAAAGGCATATAAAGGTGCATCAGACCTCTTTATGAGAAATCAAACACCACCACCCTTTTAATTAGCATTCAATAACAAAAGCAAGCTTTCCTATGTTTGTTCAGCTTTTGGCTTGGAAACAAATGCATGCTATTGTGCTGACAACAGCACTACAGGCGGAATACATAGAAAACTTGAACAGAGTAGCCCTGAAATATATACACCAGATTTGTGCAGTCTATAAGCTGATAGCTAAAACATTAGGAGTTGCAGTTCAGCATTAATTACACTAAATATCAGGTGACTTCTTTCTTTTCCTTGTAAAACTCTGTATGCTTCCACTGAGGCTGACACCAGATCACTACTAGCCTTACAAGTCAGAGTAGTCAAAGAATAAAATATGCCTTTACAAAACTAACAGATCTAACTATACTTATTTCTGTGAGCTCTTAGCAGCAAGATCAATAAGCATTCAAATAATCTCTATCTACAATCGATTAGGGCTTTATTTTTTTTACTGTATCTCTAAGGGGAATGTTTGTAACAGAGAAACTTACATTAAAAAAAATATCTTTGCTCAAGTTAAACTCAAGAAAGCGTGCAATAAAGTATAGAATTTCAGCACCATCACAAATTGCCTTAAATTCTTGCTAGTGTCTCTGCCCCTAAAAGGGTTCAAAATTAATATATTTGCATATTGAGAGAAATTCCCAAGCAGAATGAAAAAATTCCAAAAAAATAAAACACACAAATGTGCAAACTACTGTCACTTGTTTTCATCCACTCGGATGTGGACTGTTCCCCTGTAGCGGTGGCAAGGGCAGAACGAAGAAGTACCCAAGTATCCAGTAATGTTTGTTAGTGAATTTATCACCAGCTCCTTTTCACATAGACCAGTGATTCCCAAGCTCTTAGGACAGCGCCAGTTGTTATCTCTTCACTCTGCCTCTGTTGGGTAGATTAGGTCTCAGGCTTAGATTTACAATTACTTATGGGTAACATCTCTATGACTGAAGTCTCACAGAGTAAGCATTGTTCTGCTGCATTGAATGCAAATTTGCATTTAAAGTACACCTAATAAACATGTTTGATATGACTTACTTGGCAGATCATGGGTCATAAACAAAAATCCTGTGTTATATGTTTGCTTCCTTGTATACTGCCCTGCAAGAAACAGCCATATTAGTTTCTAGAACCTAACTCAGGTATCGGAAGTAGACTTTAACAGAGCAAACCTAAGATATTAAGGACGCTTCTTCCCTAGCAACTACACTGAATTCAACTCCTTAGACCTCATAAAGGAAAAAGATCTATTAAAAAAAAAAAGTTAACAACTTGTTTATTCTTCCAGCATAGAACCAGGTAAGCCTGGATAGACTGTAAGGAGGATCTTAGCCTTGACAGATTTAGAGATTCAAATCCATAAATACTTGCTCTACAAAGATTGAAAACAGAAGTATAATAAGAATGCACAGATAACTGTTTAGTTTACACAGTTTAGAGCTTCTATCTCTCTGCATTGCATGAGCCACATATAATTGTAAATGCAGTTAATGCCACAATGAGGCTGTACAATTAACTAGGAGAAAAAAGATGAGAACTGCAAAAAATTTTTCATAGACTCAAAAGGAAAAAAAAAATCACAACGCAGCTCTAACATTAAATCCCCTAAACAGACAAGGTGCAATTCTAACATGACTTTTCTGAAACCATCATTTGAAGAGAGAGAGGAATCATTTACCTTTCATCAAAGTCTGAATGAAAAATACACTAGGATTACAAAGAAAGAATATAAGCCACTTAAATGAACTGCATTCATCCACCATGTAATTTCAAAATACATTACTGCTTATCTCTTCATTAACAGAGCTTCCAATAATCTTCTGCAAACTTACAGTTGCAAAGTCAATGTTTGAACAATCTCCATATTTAAGAGGTAAGAAACCACAAATCATAAATCTCTATTCAACAGAACTTTCTCATTTACTTAGGTACCAAAAGATTTCAACAGTTTATTTCAAGTGAAGATGGATCTTGAGCTATGTGACTGCAGAAGCATCCACTTGTAGAACTAAAGAACCAAACTATTTGGACCAAAAGCATTTGTTCTGTACAGACAGAGAGAAGCAGGGGGGAAGAAAACCCTCAAAAAAACCCATGAACAGCTACATTCCACAGGGTTATTCACTGATCCAGAAATGTACATGCTTGAATATATTTAATTCTGCAGGGCTTTTTATGTTTGGGAATCAGCTACTCTTCAGGAGAAAGTTACATGTTTTGGATCAAAAACTAATAAAAAAAAGTTAACTTGGCATTTACTGACCAAGCAAGTAAGCAAGGGTACGAAAATCAATTAAAAGAAAACTGCTCCCCATAAAAGCCTTTCTATTAAGAATTGTTTTTCCAAAGATAAAAAGATGTCATTTCCCTGATGCCCATCAGGGAAGAGCTTTGAAAACCAAGTTTCCCTTGTAAGAGTAATAGCCTAATAGTATTTCATTCACACTTATATACCCAAGAGATTTAACTGTTGTAAGCAGAAAAACAAAGAAAGAAAGGTCAATACATCTGTTATTTTTCTTGTTTCTGTATTCGACATCTGCCATCTTTTTCAGATGGAAATCTTCACAGGTTTTGCCATTATGTAGTAGCTGACCTACTGGATAAGCCAGTGTGAGATGGCGAGTTACAAGTGCAAACTAAAAATTACTTACACTCGGTACAAAACCATAGGAGAACTTTTCTTTGTAAAGGGCAATAGCAGAAGAGGAGTTAAGCTGAAATAACAACAAAAAGACAGCTTTCTTTTTCATATGCAGAACAAGGCAATCTTTCCCCCATTCTGTGCACATACCTTATTGTGACTAAATATTAGGTTTGGGGGTAGGGGGGAATATGGCAAGCAGCCACGTTTAAAGGACTGGTCTCCCATTTATATTCTCCCTTTAATTTGCTACTATTGATTCTCAGGCACATAGGTGAGGACTAAGGGGCATCTACAATATGCGTGACAGAAAAAAAAAGTCTTTTTATTATGTTGTATAAAAACAATTAGGTTAAAGCAATATCTGATTTCATCCAGTCATGCTTTCAACTTACAGGGATATTTCATCAAGCGCAGATCATACTTTAACAGACATTCTTTACATTCGGTCACTCACGCTACAACCAGATTTCATCAATTCCACAGGAATATAACACAGCAGTAGAGTTCATATAGCATTCCAATACAGAAACACCACTCTAATTTTAGGGTCACACTGTTTCACAAGAAAGATAAAAATCCTAAAGGAATACAGCATGCATCAAAAAATCTTCTAGGCACGTCCTCGATGTATCATTTTAAGGATTTTAATAAAGACATAATCTTTCAAAGGGAAAATTAGAATCCAATTCAAGAACATTTCATCTATGAAAGTAATCCATTTTCTAGAGTAGCCACTTTCACATAGAACTTGCTAACCACAGTATATCTGTTAGAAGAGTAACAACCCAATCTACTGAAATTCACTACTCCAGAACTCACAGTCACCTCATTTCTCTAGTCTTTACTTCTGAGTAATAGGAAAGGAGTTCTGGTCCATTAACTCGCCTACTCTCTCCTGGAGGAAGTTAACCAGCTCAGCTAATACGAAGACATGAGTTTCATCCAGGTCTTGTATGATGAACTTCTTCCCCAAGGCATTCGACTCATCCAAGTAGAGCAGAAACTGCTTCATTGCTGGGTCACTGCAGAGACAAATATGCATCAGATCCCACCTCATTGTAATGCAATAAATTTAAGAACAAGTAAACAAACAAACCAAAAAAGCTCTGAAGACATTTTCAATGTTGTTTAGGAAATAACATCATTTCAAGAATGGCTTATAGTTGACAATCTAATGAAAGCTTATGAAACTCTTTCAAGAGCTTCTCTTTAGCAACAATGACCCCTTGGAATAATTCACAGAATAAAATATAATTAATATTATATACAATACAATATATAATATATATTATATGATATAATATATGATATATGATATATATAAAATATATATCAATTAATATATAATTGATAAGAAAGTCCAAACAGAAGAGCTCATTGTTTGATTGACAGAGAAGTGCCAGTATACTGCTATTAAAGAAGTAAGTTAAAGAGCTTACCTTAACAAGGTGAGTTTGAACTTCCATTTCTATTTTCAGAAATAGCAACATAAAAGCATGTTTTCTTAAAGAATATTTTTGTTTAAGGGTAACCAAAACCCAGGATAGCACATACCTCACTTGAAGTAGTACAGCACAGGAAAAAAAAAAGGGGTCTTGTAGGAACTGTGCATTTTTCAAGTCATAATTGAATAGTCCCTTCTTTTTCACGATGTCGGTGTGTAAGTTAAATGTTTAGAAGTAAAGAGAATATTTAGAAGTATATAAATTATAGCATAATTGAAATGGCTGCTTTCTCTATCTAGCTGCTTAGTAGAATGCAAAGTGGCTTAAAAAAATAGGAACGGAGAGCTCTTTGATTCACTGTAATTTTGAAGAAGTCATTATTAGTCCAGCAATACTAGTTTGCACAAAACAGGAAAAGCAGGCTCTCTGGCAAAACTGAGTATTTGATTATGGCAACTGTTGCAAGAATACGTGCAGAAAATTGGAACTAGAGGGCTCAAAATACTTTCAGAATGAACACAGTTGGTTTGCCAACATAGCAATCAGCAATAACATCATAAAAATAATCACTGGATTAATTTCTTTTAAATGCTCTATGAGGACCAATCCTCCATTACCCAAAAGTACATATGGTACAAAGGCACTCACTGTGAAACAAATCCCTTCCCCATGCCCCCCCAGCAGGCAACACAAAAGTAATCCTTAATATTAGCCTCAAATCTGTAGAAGTGTAACAGGAACAAGAAGATAAGTTTGCAAAGCATAAAATAATTTTGAAGCAAGAAGAATGAGAAAGCTTGTAAGCTTTATCTTCTTCAGAAAAGCTATATTTATGTTCACATCAATAAACTGATCACAAGAAGAGTTAGGAAAAAATCAGATACCAAAGTATGCGGTTCCCAACGTTCCTTCACATTCTCTTTTTTGGGGGGGGCAGGGAAAGTTTCATTTTCCCTTATTTCATTCAGCTGTACATTACTGACCTACAGGAGCAGTACCAGACAGCACGATATTTGTCCTAGCTGGTATGAGCAGCCTGTGTGATGTTAGACATTATTCACAGACCATTTTTCACACAGCTAGGATGACAGTGTCTCTGTCATCCTCTCTTTCAGTATCATACCTGCTAGGAGTCTAGGAAGAAGTGAGTAAAAGAACTGCCTGCATGCAAACACATACTTGTACCCTGCTAATACCGAGTAGGATGTAGCCATGGAGCTGAGGGAGAAGAACACACAAATCTTGAGCACGTGCAGGTAAACATAAAATAAGTAGTTAAATGAGGTGCAAAACAATATTTTCCTAACTGTCTGAGATTTCAGAACTTCTTGTGCTGTCTTGTCAACAATTCTGATCTGGGCATGTTTACATCATCACCCGCACCCAGACACTTCCTCGTGCTTCAGAAGATTTGTCAACATACCAACACAGAACCAAAGGTAAGTAGATAAGTTTTTTGTTATAGCAGAATTCAGGGTCTGAGCTGCTCACGCATAGCTATTAGACATCCATTACTTAAGCTGGCTCACCTCCAGTCATCTCAGAAGGCAGCTGTAGCAAGCACACAGATGTATGCACTAAGCAGAGTTGAGAGTTTTTCTGTTTGTGCAGTTACCACCTATGTTAGTGGGTTTACAATGTAAACGTACAGCAGAAAGCATATGTCACATAATGTCATGCAATGACTCCACAAATCTTGACTGACGCTTCTCTTTACTTTGGAGTAAACAATTACCTCATCCTCAGTCTAGAGATTTCAGACTACCTGTGAACATGCCTACTACACACATACAAATAGCTTATATCTACAGATTATAAGCACGTTGTTTATACAGTATGAACTGTGAGAGAGTGAGGGAGAGAGAGAGAGAAGGATGTCATTTCCCTCTAGAACTAGGAAAAAAACATACTACCCATGAATAACAACAAACATTTGCAAGCACTATAGAGAATAAGGGGGAACATCTAACGATTAAGCATAAACGGAAAGCAACAGTATCTTAGAATGGAAAAAGTGGTTTGGAATTAGGATTACCTAAAACTACCTCACTTTCTCCTCAAATCACATACATACTTTTCCTTTGTCTGCTTGTTCAGTTATGTATCATTGCTTCTCAGAGGGATTTCAGATTTTGATCTAAGCTCTTAAAGTACCTAAAAGGTTTCTGCTGCTAAAGAAACAGTCAGAGAGATGGATACAGCTAGCCGCGATGAACACTGTTACCAACCATTCGATCAGAACACCTTTCAGAACGTTCACCATCTTCTCGGTTTCTTACAAAGGCCAAAAAGAACAGGCAACAAGAAGTAGCCCTGATTCGGGTTACACCCGCAAACAGGCAATATCTGGAAGAAAAATAAACAACACCTTGGTTGAACTGAGCAATCCTTCAAGATGACACCAAGGAAAGCGAACAGAAGCCTAGAGACACTTAAACCCCACTGTCAGAAAAGGCCTTACTTCAGGGCCAGGTTTCAGACAGATCCCACACCGGTACTACAGTCACGGGCCGAGGACCCCCTCCCTCTTACCCCCGTCGGGCCGGGCCCAGCGGCTCGCACGGGAGAGCGGCCCCGAGG